TATGCATATACATATATGGCATATACATATATGCATATACATATATGCATACATATATGCATATACATATATGCATAACATATATGCATATACATATATGCATATACATATATGCATATACATATATGCATATATACATATACATATATGCATATACATATATGCATATACATATTATGCATATACATATATTATATGCATATAGCATAATATGCATATACATATATGATTAATATATGCATATTACATATTAATATATGCATATACATAATATATAATGGCTATACATATATAATATATGCATATACATATATTTATGCATAAATATATATATGCATATATATATATGCATTAATATATATATATATATATATATATATATATATATATATATATATATGCATACATATATATGCTATACATATATAATATGTATATGCATAATATATATATATATGTATATGCATATATAATATATATATGTATATGCATATATATATATATATATATGTATATGCATATATATATATATATATATATATATATATATGCATATGTATATATATATGTATATGCACATATATATATATGTATATGCATAATAATATATATATATATAATATATATATATGTATATGCATATGCATATATATATATATATATAATATGTATATGCATATATATATATATAATATACATATATATATATATATATGTATGTACATATGCATATATAATAATATATATATATATATATGTATATTATATATATATATATATATATGTATATGCATATATATATATATATATATATATATATATATATGCATATATATATATATTATTATATAATATATATGTATATGATCATATATATATTATATATATATATATATGTATATGCAATATATATATATATATATATATATATTATATATGTTATGCATATTATATATATGTATGTAATGCATATATATATAATATATATATACATTCATATTTAACATATACATTATACAGCCTCCCTATACACACAAATATATAATATATAATTTATAATATATATACTATATATAATATATACTATATAATATACTATATATGATTTTAAATTTAACCGCTTTATATATATATATATATATATATATATATATATATATATATATATATATATATTCCAAGGTTGTAGAGTGGAGTATAAAGCAGTATTACCTACATGTTTACGACTAATATTGGTGCTTAGGCAATTCCAGGCTCAAGGTTTCTGGACGGGCCGTATTCTACACAGCTTGAGTTTGCGTGACCTACTCTGTTATTTAGTCATCTTGCCTAACCTGGAATTCAAGTCTTTTGGTGCAATTTCCGTTAGCATTTTAATTTATAAAATGCTAACCATTATAACTTGGAAATCATGAGTCACGCACAAGCGAACTCATCTTACCTGTGTGTGGCAGTCAGCTGAGTCAACGGAGCCGAAGTGGGACGAGAACTTTACTTTCGCTTAAATCCTGAGAAACGATGTATTCGCTGTTGGTTTTCGAAAACACTCTTTACCTCTGATTCATTAATTTGATCACTGTGTTTTCGCAGTCTTAATTTCTTGAACAGCACGCAACTGAAACCAGTTCGCAATGGAGATTTAAACGGCAAGCACAACGCATACACTTCCGCCCGCCTCCAGGTTCCAACCTCTCACTGACGACCAGCCATACATGCCATCTATCGGCAACTATGGCAACTACTCCTGACCTCTGTTCCGACGAGCGTTTGGAGAATTTAGAACCAAAATATATAAAATAGCCCTGAAAGTGTTTCTAGTTGCGAATTACCTTATTCATGATGTTTCTATAATGTTTATTGTGAAAATGTGTAGCTAATGTAATTCAAAGGACCATATGAGTTTAAACACAAGCTTAAACGTATACTTTAGACAATTGCACGAGTAATATATTTGGTAATCAGCAGCCCTGCATAAGAAAGCGAAATAATTTCATGAAATTTGTTACAAAATGAATGATCAAGTATGTATATTTCCGATTATATGAGATTCCATGACATAATTTTAAAAACATGTAAGTATACCTTTAAAACAATTTTCTTTGCTTTTTCGTCAAACATCAATTTTCTTTCTTCTGCGGATTCAGGGGTGACCAAACAAAATGAACATAACAATGCCCACATTATATATCAATACCGCGAATATTTTAAGACCAATGTACTGAGTTCGTGTAGAAGAATTTAAAATCTAACTCTGTCTCGCGTATCTACTATTTCATTTCATCAATCTATGTATTTACCTGCATAGCGTGCGTCTATGTGCGTTCTGAAGATTATTGGTATACATTTGAAATTCATCAGGATTGATCAAATGAATTCATATCCTCGATGCTAAGGAGTCCATAGGTTGGCATGCGCTTCCTAAAGAGCAAACCAAGGAACAATGTCAATTACGTTGTTCCTCTTTTTGATATACGAAAGAGTTGTAGCATTTTGAATCTACCGAACTTTATTGCTGCTGAGAGAAATGTTGATAAACCTTTCCAAGAATTTTGGGAAATGTCTGGAGGAAACCAATGACACGCCAGGTCAAGGTCTCACCGGAAGCCACATGGCCTAGTGACCTCACCTGACCTACAACCACAATAAACCGTCTGTCAGCTGACCAAGGAGGCTTCATTATAAATATGGTAAACGTGATCTTTAATTTCCTGCTGTGCCTTCAAGTGACAGCATGAAATATTATAACACACGTGGCTGGTCCGTTCGACAACAGATCCCGTTTCCCCCAGATGAAGCCCCGGAATGCATAGCTTGGCGAGGAGAACGTAAAAAGGCGAGGCCAGAGGCTGAGAACTAATTCCTTAACTAACCCAAACAGCCTATAAGCAAACGGCAGGCGTTCCTAATGAAGATCGGGAAGATGGTAATGTTGAGAAAGAAAATAAGATCATTATAATAATTGTAACATTGCAATATGATGAGAGTGATAATAAGAATACTAGCAGCAATTATGATAACAATAACAAAACGGTCACAACAATGAAAGAACGATAATCAACAGATACATCAAGAACAAATAACTAAACTTTCATCAAAAAGT